GTGATGGCAGGCTTTGGGGTGTTCTGTGCCATTTGCTAAGCTGTCCCAGGACCTGTGCTGGTGACAGTGGCCTTGATTCGCAGCATAGCCTCTCCCATGTGCCAGCACAGCAGCTACCAACAAGAGATTGATTTGTATCTTCTACCAGGTAGCCCCAAGCGGGTCATAAGCAGCAGCTGATCTTGGCCTACACCAGAACTAACACATACAATGGCTGGCTTCAGACGACAGCAGAGCGTCACCCAATTAGCTCCACAAGCACCACACTCAAAGGGTGGTCTTGGCAGGAACCAGAGCCTCCTGGGATGATTCCCACTCTGTGGGGTCAGATCCCTCTCAATAGCTTATACACTGTGATTGTGGCCAATCCTCACAGCCAGTTAGCCTGAGCGTCAGTCCCACCCACTGACATGTCAACAGCAATCAAGGCTCAACTACAGCAGGAAGGCACACACAACCCACACAAGAGACATTTCTGGAGCACCCAGCTCAGGTAATCAAGGAGACTGCACCACTGGGTCCCACAAGACACCTACTACATAAGGCCTCCCTGCCAAGACTGGGAGATGTAGCAAATCTACTTAATACGTAGAAACAAACACAGAGAGGCAGCCAAAATAAGGAAACAAAGAGACAAGTCTCAAATGAAAGAACAGGAGAAAACTCCAGAAAAAGAACTAAATGAAATGGTAGCAAATAATCTATCAGATACAGAGTTCAAAACATAGATGATTAGAATGCTTAAGAAACCTAGTGAGAACTTGGACAAAGATATAGTAATTATAAGAAGGACATAGAAACCATAAAGATGAACCAGTCAGAAATGAAGGATACAATAACTGAAATGAAGAATACACTATAAGGAATCGACAGTAAACTAGATAAAGCAGAGTATCAAATCAGTGATTTGGAAGACAAAGTAGCAGAAAACACCCAATCAGAACAGCAAAAAGAAAAAAAGAATTTAAAAAATGGGGATAGTTTAAGGGACCTCTGGTACAACATCAAGCATAACAACATTCACATCATAGGGGTACTAGAAGGAGAAGAGAGAGAGCAAGTGACAGAGAACATATTTGAAGAAATAATGACATGAAACTTCTCTAACCTGGTGAAGTCCTGGAAAAAAGAGAGTCTAAAATAAGATGAACCTAAGGAGGCCCACATCAAAACACATCATAATTGAAATACCAAAGGTTAAAGACAAAGAGAATCTTAAAGGCAGCAAGAGAAAGGCAGTTAGTTAACTATAAGGGAGTTTCCATAAGACTGTTAGCTGATTTCTCAACAGAAACTTTGCAGGCCTGAAGAGATTTGCATGAAATATTTAAAGTGATGGAAAACAAGGCCCTACAACCAAGACTGCTCTTCCCAGCAAAGCTGTCATTTAAAATTAATGGAGAGATAAAGAGCATCCCAGACAAGAGAAAACTAAAGGAGTTCATCACTACCAAACCAGTATTACAAGGAATGTTAAAGGGACTTCCTTAAGAAGAAGGGTGGGGGGGGGAGAAGAACATAAATATAATAATAAAATGGCAATAACTATGTACCTATCAACAATTACTTTAAATGTAAATGGATTAAGTGTTCCAATTAAAAGACATAGGGTAGCTGAATAGATAAGAAAAGACCATTACATATGCTCTGCAAGAGACCGACTTCAGATTGGAAGACACACACAGACTAAAAGTAAAGGAATGAAAAAAGATGTTTCTTGCAAATGAAAATGAAAAAAAATTCTTGGATAACAATAACATTTTCAGAAAAAAATAGACTTTAAAACAAAGGCTTTTATAAGATACAAAGAAGGACAATTCATAATGATAAAGGGATGAATCCAACAAGAGGATATGACCTTTGTAAACATTTATGCACCCAACATAGGAACACCTAAATATATAAAAGTAATATTGACAGACATAAAGGGAGAGATTGACAGTAATATAGTCATAGTAGGGGATTTTAACAGCCCATTGACATCAATGGATAGATCTTTCAGACAGAAAATCAACAAAGAAATGGCAGTATTAAATCACACATTAGACCAGATGGATTTAATTGATATTTTTACAGCATTTTATTCCAAAGCAGCAGAATATACATTCTTTTCAAGTGTATATGAAACGTTTTCCAGGATAGACCACAGTTAGGCCACAAAACAAGTCTCAATAAATTTAAGAATATTGAAAGCATATCAAGAGTCTTCTCTGACCACAATGGTATGAAACTAAATATCAATTATAAGAAAAAAAAACCTAAAGCCACACAAACACACAGAGCTAAATAACATGCTATTAAACAATTAATGGGTTAACAATAAGATCAAGGAAGAAATCAAAAGATACCTTGAGACAAATGAAAATGGAAACACAATGACCAAAAATCTGTGGGACACAGTGAAAGCAGTACTAAGAGGGAAATTCATAGCAATACAGATCTACCTTAAGAAGAAAAATTTCAAATAAACATCTAACCTTAAACCTCAAAAAACTATATAAAGAACAACAAACAAAATCTAAAGTGAGCAGAAGGAAGAAAATAATAAAGATCAGAGTGGAAATAAATAAAATAGACTATTAAAAAAAAAAAACAATGCAAAAGATCAATGAAATCAAGAGCTGGTTCTTTGAAAAGATAAATAAAATTATTAAACTTTTAACCAGACTCACTAAAACAAAAGAGAGAGGACCAAAATAAATAAAATCAGAAATGAAAGAGAAATGACAACTGACTCCATAGAAATACAAAAGATTATAAGAAAATACTATGCACAATTAATTATATGCCAACAAATTGGACAACCTGGAAGAAATTGGTACATTCCTAGAAACATACAGTCTTCCAAGACTGAGTAAAGATAAAACAGAAAATCCAAATAGGCTGATTAATAAAATTGAATCCATAATCAAAAAACTCCCAACAAACAGAAGTCCTGGACCAGATGGATTCACAGGTAAATTTTACCAAACATTCAAGGAAGAATTAACATCTATTTGTCTCAAACTATTCCAAAAATTTCAAGAAAATGAAAGTATCCCAATCTTATTTCATGATGCCATCATTATTCTGATTCCAAAACCAGATAAAAACATTACACAAAAAGAAAATTATATGTTGATATCCCTGATAAACATAGATGCAAAAATCCTCAACAAAATATTAGCAAACAAAATTCAGCAATACATTAAAACAATTATACACCATGATCCAGTGGGACTTATTCCTGGGATGCAAGATTGTTTCAATATCCGCTAATCAATTAACATGATATACCACATAAACAAACTGAAGGATAAAAGTTATATGATCATATTAATAGATGCAGAAAAAGCGTTTGAAAAAATACAGTATTCATTTATGATAAAAACTCTCATCAAAGTGGGATTAAAGGGAACGTACCTCAACATAATAAAGTCCACATATGACAAACACACAGCTAACATACTCAATGGAGAAAAGATAAAAGCATTTTTCTTAAGATCAGAAACAAGACAAGGATGTCCACTTTCACCACTTTTATTTAAATAGTATTGGAAGTCCTAGCCACAGCAATCAGACAAGAAAAAGAAATAAAAGCCCTCTAAATGGAAAGGAAGAAGTAAAACTATCATTATTATCAGATGACATGATACTGCATATAAAGAACCCTAAAGATTCCACCAAAAAAAATGTTAGAACTGATAAATAAATTAAAGATACAAAATTAATATTCATAAATTTGTTGCATTTTTATGTATTAATAATAAACTGTCAGAAACAGAAATTAAGAAAACAGTCTCATTTATAATAGCATCAAAAAATACCTAGGGATAAATTTAACCAAAAAGGCTAAAGATCTGTACTTGGAAAATTATATTTCCTTGTCCTAGGGAATATATCAGAAAAAAAAACAAATGAGATTACATAAAACTAAAAAGTTTTTGTGCAGCAAAAGAAACCATAAAAGAAAAAAACGAAAAGATAATCTACTTAATGGGAGAAGATATTCACCAATAATACATCCAATAAGGAGTTATTATTCAAAACCAAAAAACAACACCAAAAAAACTAACAATTTATTTTAAAAAAATGGGTAAAAGACTTGAATAGACATTTCTCCAAAGAAGACATACAGATGGCCAATAGACATATGAAAAGATGCTTAATGTCATTAATCATCAGAGAAATTCAAATTAAAACCACAAAGAGATATCACTTCACACCTGTCAAAATGGCCATCATCAATAAATCAAGAAACAACAAAGGTTGTCAAGGATGTGGAGAAAAGGGAACCCTCGTTTATTGTTGGTTAGTTTGGAAATTGGTGCAGCTACTATGGAAAACATTACAGAGGTTCCTCAAAAAATTAAAAATAGAACTACCTTATGACTCAACAATTCCACTTTTGTGTATATATCTGAAGAAATCCAAAACACTAATTTGCAACGAACACTTCTGTGTTCATTGCAGCATTATTTACAATAGTCAAGATATGGAAGCAACCTAAGTGACCATCAATAGATGATTAGATCAAGAAGTGGTATGTATATACAACGGAATACTACTCAGCTGTAAAAAAGAATGAAATTTTATCATTTGCAACAACTTGGATGAACCCGGAAAGTATTATGCTAAGTAAAATAAGTCAAAGAAAGAAAGACATATACATATGACCTCACTTATATGTGGAATCTAAAGAACAAGATAAACAAACAAACCAGAAATAGACTCATAGATACAGAGAACAAACTGATTGTTGCCAGATGGGAGCAAGGTTGGGGGACTTGGTGAAAAAAGTGAAGGGACTAGAAAGTACAAATTAGTAATTAATAAATAGTCATAGAGATGTAAAGTACAGCACAGGGAATATAACCATGTATGGTGCCAGGTAGGTACTAGACTTATCAAGGGGACCACTTTGTAAGTTATATAAATGTCTAACCCCTATGCTGTACACATGAAACTAACATAAAATAATATTGAATGTCAGCTACAATCGAAAAAAATGCTGTTACAGAGCTCTCTCAGGCTGTACATATACTAAAATTAGGACCATACAGAGAAGATTCTCATGGCCTCTGCACAAGGATGACATGCAAATTCATAAATCATTCCATATTTTATAATTCTGCATGTTACAACATGGAGGAGCCTTGAAGATGTTATGCTAAATGAAATAAGCCAGACACAAAAGGACAAATATTGTATGCTTCCACTCATATGAAGCATCTAGAGTGGTCAAATTCATAGAGACAGAAAATAGAAGTGGACTGAGGTGGGGGAGATGGGCGTTAGTGTTTAGTGGGTACAGAGTTTCAATTCGAGATGATGAAAAAGTTGTAGAGGAGGTTGGTAGTAATGATGCATAACGAAGTGAAAGTACTTAATGCTAATGAACTGCACACTTAAAATGGTTAAAACAGCAAAATTTTCTGTTATGTACATCTTTGCACAATTTTTTTAAATGGCAAAAAAAAAAAAAAAAAGAAAAGAAATCCATCACAAAGCAAATTCTGCCTGATGAGCAGGAAGAGCCGAAACTGTTAAAAGCACATTTGCTACTTCAAAGTAGCTGATGCACACTCAGGTAACAGTCACCATTAGCAGGGGCTTCTTGGTTCTGTTTTCCATGGGTTTGGTTGGCCCTGTGAGATTTGGGATGCGAGGCAGCATTTGGGGAGGGACCCAGGTTAAGTAAGGTAGCTCCTTGGCCATCTGCCTACTCTTTTTTTTACCTGTCCTAATAGTTGAAGAACAGGGCAGCTCCAGAAAAGAGCTTGGAACGAACCAAATGCATGGGCAGAGAGGTCGCAGAAGATAAAAGCATGATAGTTCACAGCATCCTCCGTGATGTCAGCTGGGCTTGGATTCAAATCCCTCTGTGCCAGTGATTAGCTGTATGACCTGAGATAAATTATTCAATCCTTTCTGCCTTAGTTAAATAGGAATACTAGTACCTACTTTATAGAACTACTGTCAGGATTAAATGAGATAAAGTGTGTTAAATGCTTGGCACGATGCCTGGCAATAAATGAGTGAACAGTAAACAAACACTAGGTTTTGTTTCAATAATAATGGCTGAGTCAACGATTACCTGTGATAAAAAAAATCAAGATGAAAGGAAGTGCTCAGTCATTTCATGAATGGGTTTGGAGACCTGCCTTTCCTCCCGATTATAACCCTGTCCCTCTGTCAAAACAGAAGCTTCTTGAAGAAAAGAACAGTATCAACCTCCAGGTTGAATCTGTGTTATGATGAAAAAAAGCTCACTATTTTTGCAATGTATGTAAGTCACTTCACATCTCTGAGCTTCAGTCATTTTTCTTGTCTGCAAAATGGGTTAATAATATTAATCATGTGGCATCACTGTGAAAATTAAATACGATATTTGTTCAGTATTGAGCACAGTATTTAAAATATGTTTGTGCAATAAAAATGACCACGATGATGTTTGATTTGGTGTCTGAAGATAAGGTTCAAATCTGGGCTCATCATCTGCTAGCTGAGCAGTTTTGCATAAGGAGATATCACTCCTCTGAATCTCAATTTCCTCATCTGTCAAATGAGAGTGATTATACTGCTACCCACCCTATAGAATTGTTGGGAAAACCTATGAAGACGAGTCTTTTTGGACACAGTATGTAAGGGTAAAGCATTCATGAATGTGAGCTGTCATTTTTTATAATAAGGACTCAACACCCATGCATGAATGAGGGACCAAGAAATTGACTGGCACTTCCTTTAGGGCCACTCCAAGCTATGTGTCTGGAGGCTGAACCCCATGATCAAATAGCTGCTGAACAGCCGGCGTGCTGAGCTGCAATGTCTTTCTCCCACTGCCTCACCCACCGAGAGATGCCCTTTCCATCTGGTAGGTACCTACTCAGCACTTTTCTGGGCTACATTTCTGCTGATCCTCCCAGGACACCAGTGCCTCTCAAGCAGGCTGGCTGGGAAGGGATTAATCAGGGGTGGGGAGAGAAATGACCTCTGGTGGGATACCTCAGGTAGGCAGTGGGGAGGCCACTCTGTCCAGCCAAGTGAGAGGCCTTAACACAATCCCAACCCTGGAACCTGTGAGAGAGAGGATGGGGGAACAGAGCTGTCCTCGCCCACCAACTAATATCCTCAGGTCCAAGCTAAATGCACAAGGCTCTGAGCCCAGTTCTGTCACGAGCTTGCTGTGAGAACTTCGGTGAGTCACTTTCTTTCTCTGTGCTTCTATATCCAATTCTGACATTCTAGAATTCCAGGAGCAAGGAGAAGGCAGGAGGAGAACAGGCAGGGCACAGCCATCAAAGAGTTGTAGGAGTTGTACCAACCTCTGAGAACACACAGAATTTGGCACCAGAGTGACCTGGGCTCTGGGTTCAAGTGCCAACTCAGGTTTTTGGCTGCATGAGCTTTACCCCATTACTTAACTTCTCAGAGCTTCAATCTTCTTGTTTGTAAAAGCAGTTTGCAAATCTAATTTGCAGAATCACGAAGATTAGAAATAATGTATTCAAAGCACTGGCATACAATATATACTCAATAAATCATACTTACAGCAGGTCATCACATAATGTAGTTTTGTTCAATGTTGTTTTGTTATAACTTTGATGAGATGCATAGGGACTTAACTCTTGTTTATATCAATTAGCCTATGGTAAAATTGTTTTCATTATTTGTCATTTCGCTTAAAGTTACAGAACCTGTCGATGCTGTTAAGTGGGGGCTTATTGTATATAGTGAATGCTTACTACTTTATTATCTGTCGTCTACCTATCATCTACCTATAGTCTATCTACCTATCTATCTACCTACCTACCTACCTATATATCATTTATTATCATATCTATCTATCTATCATCTATCTATCATCTATCTATCTAATCTATCTTTATTATAGATAACATTAACATCATCCAACCCCCAATCTCCCAGCAGGATCTCTTGCAGTGGCAGTAGATGAGCTACCTGGGGGCACTGGTAGGTTGCGCTAGGGGTCAGGGTTCCTGTGCTAAGTGGAAAGATGAGCCTCACTATGGGATTTACTCATTAGCCAGGAGCTTTCAGGTGAAGCTAGCCTGGACTGGAGGTTCACTGTCCTGATTTTAACTGGTAATAACTAAAAACAGCAGTTTTACTCTTCTCCCCCTTCCCAGCCTCCCTCCAAGCCTGGGCACAGCCAGCTCCTGTGGGGACAATGAACACAGAATGGAGCCACTAAATTCACTTCAGTGTCCGTAGAAGCTGGCCACATAGGTCTGTGACCTCAGTATTGAAGTAATCATGTGAGTAAATCACGTGTGAGTAAATTATGTGTGAGTAAATTACAGACATTCTCATATCTCTACTTGTCTGGGAGTCTCTCCAGTACTGTTTATTTGGGGCTTCAGGAACTGGCCTGCTCTCCTTCCTCTTCTGGTTTGGCTGGGGAGAGGCCATGCTGGGCTGCAGATGAAGCAAGGCTAATAAGGACTGATCCTGCTTTGCTCTCACACACAGGTGGGGTAGAGGGTGAAGCCCAGCTGGGGAAGCTGGGTGAGTGCCCATTGGCCAGTGTGAGTGTGGGGTGGAGTTGGGGGGCAGGGAATCCACTGGCCTGTGTTTATGTGTGTGTACGTGTGTGTGTGTGTGTGTGTGTGTGTGTGTGTGTGTGTGTGTATGAATTTGTGTCTGTTGGCCAGTGTGAGTATGAGTGCATGTCTATCTGCTTGTGTGTATGTTTGTGTGAATGTGAGTGTGTATCTATTGGCTGGTGTAGAATCATCCTTGGTGTGAACAGAGAAGAGAGGAGGATGTTGGCTGGAGGCTGTGAGTGTATGCAAGCATTAAAATAAGTTGAGCATTTGAATGAGTCAGTGCATTGGAGAAAATGTCCTTGCAGGGGCCTGTAAGTCTCCCATGACCTGGTCCCACTATCTCTCTGCCCCCTCTCCTAGACTCTGACCCTTGTTCTCACTGCTGTAGCCACCTCGGCCCCTTGTTGCTCCTTAGATGTTCCTTGGGGTCTTGTGCTGGCTGTTCTCTCTGCCTGGGATGCCTTTACCAAAGAGCTCTGCTTAGCTCACCACCTTCAAGTCTTTGCCAAGATGCCCCTTCTCAGTGAGGTCCACCCAGTCCCCCTATTTGATATTGTAAATTGCTTACCACCCAAAGTCTTAGACCTTGTTCTGCTGTTTTTGGTTTTTGTTTTGTTTTTTTTTTGAATAGCACGTATTGCCTCCCCACAGCTATATAATTTACTCATTTATCATGCCCGTTGCCATTTTTCCTATGAAGATGAGGATCTCCAGTTCTTTTGTTCACTGATGCATCCCAAGCACCCAGAATGGTAGCATTTATTTTATGGCATTTTTGCCTCTGGTTTCTCATTTGTAATATGGTGATGATAATAGAAGTTATTTACTTCAAGGAGTTGTTAGGCAGATTAAATGAATGAATACCTAAAAGTACCAAAAACAGTGCTTGGCACATAGTTCAATAAATGTTAGCTATTATTGCTATACTCCATCACTGCTTGGAAGAATCAAATGAGTGATCCGTGTGAAGTCTCTAGCATGCAGGTGGTCAGACAGGGTGAAGGTGCTTCATAAACATTTCTTACCTCACTCCCACTTGTTCTTAAAATTCCTAGGATGGAAAATTCCCTGACTTTCCCCAGTCATGGAACCCCTATTTTTAGACATGCTTTGGATTAGAAAGTTAGTTATCAGGGAATTTATTACTTTTTTTTTTTAAATCAAGTGTGGAGCAAGCAAGCCCTAGCCTGCCCCGACCAGGGCTGCACAGCTTCCTCATCCTATAGATAGTTAATAAAATGTGACCTGTACTGACAAGTACATTCTCTAATAGGTGTGATTATAGCTCGAACTATGCAGGACCCAAATTCTGGCCTGGGCCTTGGGTGCCCAGATTCTTCTCCCAGTTCTGCAACCCCAACAGGTTGTATGACCCAGGGCAAGTCCTGTCCCTTGTCTTGGTCTGTGCTCTTCTCTGGTGAAGGGTTGGGATTAGTTCATTGTTAAGGTCTTTCCAGGCTCATCCATTCATCCAGGACATTTTCATGGGGCCCCTGTTGCATGCCAGTGCTGCTCTTGGCACTCAGGATACAGCAGTGACCACAAGACACAAGTCC